ACCATTTCCAAGCCTCTGCTGATGAACAGTAGCAACAGCATGATGCTGCCACCACCATGCTTCACTGGTCTAAAAAAGGGGCTATAGCAGTGTAGATCTTTGACTCTTCGGTTTCTCACAATTTATTATTTTAAATATATTTCAAACAAATTTCCCCAATTGTTTCCAATACTTTGAAGTATTTTTGTCAAATTAACAAAATCAAATCAGAAATCCGATGAACTTCCAAGTTCTAAAGCAACAACTCAAGCATATCCTGATGCATGCTCAATAATCCAGGTAGAAAAGTTAAGTCTGGTCCTCTGGACATTCAAAAAATGTTGTTTTTGTTTTTGAATGTCCAGAGGACCAGACTTAACTTTTTTAGAACAGCTCAAGCAGATGAGGAGGTGGTGAAAGGTTTTGCTACTTATTGTATCATGCAGATTTGAATTCATTTTAGGTAATTATCACTGGGGGTGGGGGGGACTAATGACAGTTTTGTAAAACATTTTAGAAGTTTTTACAGTAATAAGCTGAATTTTCTGCACGTTTCAGAGCCGTCTCCCTGTTTTTACTCTTCACAGGTAACCTGAAAGGTGAGGGGGGGACTGCCGAGCGCACTGTGGAGGATGTCTTCATCCGGAGGTTTATGTACGGGACCTTCCATGGCTGCTTGGCCGATGAGGTCGTAATCAAAAGGCGTGGCAACATGATAATCGTGTGCACTTTTATGCTACAAAGCTTGTTGCCTCAGAAGTATTACTTCCTGATCGGATACTCTGAGACGCTGCTGTCGTACTTATACAAATGCCCTGTCAAGTTAGAGATACAGATTTTGTCGGGTAAAAATGTGTACAAGTGCATTTGATGGAGACGTGTCCATCTAATATTGAAGAGTTATCAGCTGCAGTGCATTTGCTATGAATAGTTTTTGAGCTCTGTCAGGAAGACACTGAGTATACCACAAAAATGATCTTTTAACTGTGCCGTTTGATCTCCAGACATCGTTTTTCTTTTATTTTTGATTGAAGCATGTGTTGTCTAATAAAAAGTAACCGCGTAAACAAGACTTGTTTCTACAAATCAGAAATAAATGTTACACGTAACAAAAGTGCTTGTTTTTTCAAAAGAATTTCTACAAATGTTTATAAGAACTGATGTGAAACTATAAAAGCAGGTAGTTGATGTCACATTTTCAGACCAAATTAAATTTCTGATTTTGCAAATTCAGAAAAAAAATCTTGGATTTGAAGAATTTTGTTTTGTTTTACGAGACGATCAGGAAAAGGTGAATCTGCAGCTTTGCAGAAACAAATGGTTTTGATCATTAATGTGAACAAGACTAATCTTGTTAAATTTAAAGCTAATGAGTGTTTTAGGATGAGATTTAAAACAGTTTTGAGTCGGTTTGATTTGTAGAGACAGTTTGTTCCACTTAGGATAAAGCTCGATTCCCTCTGCATCATCCTGCACCACCAGGCGACAAAATGCAAACGATCATCGGGTCCAAGAGTGTAACACAAGGCAGACCGATGCAGATCTGCTGATTCAGTGTCAACAATTATGACATTTATTCTGAAATGAGAAAGGAAGTGAGCACAGGGGAACTGTGTTGTCACTTTCGTCTGTTCGTGTTAAAAACGAGCTGCAGCGTTCTGTTAGCGTTCGGCTAATACCAACATTAGGAGTAACAGAAATGCATCTGTCAAGTGTTAAAAGTGCATTAATTTTTCAAAAACCTTAAAAAAAAATAATGGACTGAAGTTCAGATAAAACCCTCAAATATCTTTACTACTGAACTAAACTGTTTCTCAAAGTTAAAATTACTATCAAACTCCATATCCAGATGTTTTAGGTGTGATTTTACAATGAGCTTTAAGCTACTCAGATCTGCTTTTCTTATTAAAGTAGAGCAAATTTGAAGTTTCTACGTTGTTACGTTAATGAGGACTTAATTTTAGTAAATGTAGTTCTACAAAAATACTTAAGATTAATGAAGTTGGATGAGGGGCGAAACGTTTCTTTTTAACAAAAAAACGAAGTCCAGATGACATTCAACCTTTTTTGTTATTAATGAAGTTAAAAGTAAAAACTTAAAAGATCTAAACAAAACTAAAATGTGCTGCCTGTAAACCTATTAGTTCTAATTTATCTCTTAGTCTTTTTTTCCTCACCAAGATCTGAAATCCTGACTCATCTGAGTCCAGTTCACACCTCCACCATATAATGGTCACTTTTCTACATCATCCAATACAAAAAGCAACAAACTACTTTTATTTTACTTGATAAACGAACCTTGTTGTAAATGAATAACAAGCATTTTATTAAATGTGCATCTTTAATTTTAATCACTTTAATCTTGGCAGTGCAAATTTATTCACATTCAAGGCACAAGTGCAACACAAGGCACGGGGTAGAAATCCTTTAACAGCTACATGCAGAAGGTCCCTTTTCAATTCTCACAGAAAAGACATTTAAAATAACCTCAGTACATCTCAACCTCAGTACATCTCACAACCTCAGTACATCTCACAACCTCAGTACATCTCACAACCTCAGTACATCTCACAACCTCAGGGCACTTCGCAAAAGTTACACAGGATAAAAACCTGTTTTTGCATCCGAGGAACATGACGAGAAAATACTTAACATGAGACAGCAGAGATAAAAAATAATAGATGTTTTTATGAAAGAACGCAGAGGAAGTGACAGTTTAAAAACATTTTAAGGAGTTAGACGAGACGATTAACCACACCTTCAAAAACATTAAGTTTTAAAGCTCAAAGATTTCATGAAGAATTATTAAAAAGCTAAGTGCTTCGCTGACCAGATGCTAAAAAACAAACATGGCACAAAGCAAAGTCAAAGGAAGTTACTTGACTCAAAGTTTCAAACTAACTGTTTAAACGGGGATCAGTCAGACCATCGAATGTTTGACTCTGGATCGAGTCAGAACACATCGCCCCATGTTAAACTGTTCAAAATGGCATTCTGAATATTTGGCTTATAGTGCAGTCTATATGTAGATGATGTCACAGTCTATATGTAGATGTCAGTCTATACGTAGATGATGTCACAGTTTATATGTAGATGGTGTCAGTCTATATGTAGATGACATCAGTCTATATGTAGATGACGTCAATCTATATGTAGATGATGTCAGTCTATATGTAGATGACGTCAATCTATATGTAGATGACGTCAATCTATATGTAGATGACGTCAATCTATATGTAGATGACGTCAATCTATATGTAGATGACGTCAATCTATATGTAGATGACGTCACAGTCTATATGTAGAAGGTGCCAGTCTATACGTAGATGACGTCAGTCTTTACGTAGATGACGTCAGTCTTTACATAGATGACGTCAGTCTTTACGTAGATGACGTCAGTCTATATGTAGATGACGTCACAGTCTATATGTAGATGACGTC